TGCTCCAGTAAGTTTGTGTCTGTGTGTGTGTGCGGCGCGACATGCAAAAAAGTATCTGGATGTGAAATACCTGTGCCTGCTAGTACAAAATCCGCTGGTTGTGAAGCAGCGTCTGATTCATTAGCAGATGATGTTCGTGTTGGTGTCATCGCCGTTGTGATCTTCATCTGACCATCGGCATCTGGTGATGGTATCGGCGGTTGTTTCAGGGCACCAAGTCCTCTTGATTGCGCTGATTGTTCATGAGCTCCGGAATCAATATCTTGTTCGCGGGTACTAGGCATCTTAAGTACGTGCGCGGCAGGCGCCATGACATCGAATAATTGTTGAACAGGTTGAGCTAATAAATCGTCTAGTTGTTTCATTTCTAAAAGCGACAACATTGTGCGTGGTGGTAGATCGGTTGTCAATGTGTGCGGTGGTAGATCGGTTGTCATGTAAAAATTTCATTTGCTTTTTTAAAATCTGTGGTGCATGAATTCTACGACTGCCTATATGTAAAACAGTCTATTTCTTACTGTTCTCTTTCTCGTCCTTCTTAGATGTACAAAGAAAAGCATTTGTCCAGAATTTAGTGTCACAGAGTGCGAACACGTGACAATAATAAAAACATATACATATTTTTCGACATATTTTAAGACATTTTATAGAATAGATACATAAAATATATTCGAATTTACATGAATTTGCACAGAAGTAATTTCACTTATTAATCAAAAAAATTAGACAGTCGGCTAATATTCACGGCTTAGGTTCTATTTTGAATATTTATGCCAAAAAATTGAAAAAAATTGAAAAACCAAAATTCAAATTGTTTACTAGTTAGTTTTTTTTTTTTGATAGCACATGCTTCACAACGGAAACTAAGAACTTCCTGATCAATACAATAGTCAGTTTTCTACATATATAAGGCTAATATTCACGGCTTAGGTTCTATTTTGAATGTTTATGCTTCAATTGATGGTAGATGGAAACGTCGTGGTCATATATCAAATTACGGGATTGTTTCTTATATATGTAGAAAACTGACTATTGTATTGATCAGGAAGTTCTTAGTTTCCGTTGTGAAGCATGTGCTATCAAAAAAAAACAACTAACTAGTAAACAATTTGTATTGTCTGGAACTCAGAAGTGTTTGTAAACCTCGGGAGTTCTTCGGGTGCTCTGGAGAAAACTTGTATAGACTGAAGCTACTTTACGAAGGTGACACATCATATCAGAGAAGTATTCATAACGCATGATAGATAGTCCTTAGCGAACACCGACCGAAGGGAGGTGTAAGCGTTGTTTCGACGAACTAGGCCAAACCTTGCCCCCAATCAGGTTTTGTTATCAAGACTAAGAAGACTGGTAGATTCGTCCATTTCGAACGTCTGTATAGCACAGGAAAGCAAATCAAATTACAGAGTCTCGATGAACTACAGAAATTCTGATAAACGTTTCTCACCCGTGAAAAGTTATAGCAACTACTTCTGTAAACTACGATGGAAAATATGCAAGCACTCATCGTAAAAATACGCATCAATCCTGTAGTAATAAGATCGGGCTACAACAGAATGAAATAATATTCGCGACACGAGAGTCATTCTACTTACAGTCAATGGACTTAGTGAATCGATACGATTCACGTTATTTATATAGAGAAGACATACATATATAAATATGATAGTAATGAACTATATAGCCTAAAATAAATTCAAGAAGCAAACGCGTAGACATAGAAAGTAATGTTAGTCTGCTCTGTTTCTATCTTTTTTGTTCATAGAGGTATTGTGAAAAAAGCTGAATTTATAATCATTTATCACTCGAAAACCAAAAAAAGATCCAGTTAGTCGGGGGATGCGCACCCTTCTCACCCACTCTCGGTATTTGCGCCCCTGACCTCATGACTGTCGTTCTCGTCTTCTTCGATCTGTCTGGATAAATATTGAAACGCCACACAGACGCACACGAGACAGCAAATAACGCAAGCTATCGCTACCAGCACAACGCCAACCAAAACGAGATAGTATATGTACACACCCCGATCATAGCTAGACAAATTCCTGCCATGGTCCTGTAATTCAAGACTAGCCAAGATGGGTGTGCCGATGAAAAACACGCCCGATGACACTAACACTGCGAGCCATAGTCCTTTTGTCCACCAAATCTCCACCCGACTCATCTCATTAAAAAAACGTCTAGGCGTGTGCAAAGCTATAGCTTTTGCCATCGCAATTGGATTTTCATCTGCTTGATCTTCGTACTCTTTTCTCCATATTTCCCCCATGCAAAAGAGTTTTAGATCGAATTTGTACATAGCACCAGTGATGAATAAACTAAATAGGGTAAGTAATTCGAAGAATATTTGGCGAAATCTTGATTCTGAGTCGAGGAAGAGTGCCAAACCTGGAGAAACGTTGATGCCAATGAAAATAGAGAGTCGGATTAAAAACTTGTAACCTCTCCCAAGAACACGGCCCTCATGATTTTGATCATCGTGGTTCCCACTGTCGGCCAAGTACAAACTAACAGCATGCACCAGCAATTCCACGCTGAAAAATGTTAAGGATACAGCTAAAATCATGGTAGTTCGTTTGGGTAGGGCGAACAGGTATGCGAGAAGTTCTCCAATCTCAATCAGTACGGAGATAATGATGCCGATACGTTCATTATCAGAAATCGCTTTGAGGAGTGTTGTCCCGCCAATGATGATAAGAATGTAGAAAAAAAAGCGTTTTTGAGCGTCGCTGAGTTGTGAAGCTTTTTGAGCAAAGTACATTCCCAATTGTTCACCTAGGTTTAGGAGGTCAATTATCACATTGAGAAGAAACGACCATTCTTTCCTATTCAAACCGAGCATGGGTAACGTTTTCTTGAAATCAGTCGAAATAGATAAGCTTAGCAGCAAGAATTGTAAAACATTCACTTAATGACAGAGAAAGAGTATGTTTAACAACAAAACAGAAGAACAACAGAAAAAAAGAAAAACGACGATTTGTGCAATTCAATTTGTCATTTTCTTTCTTTGTGTTCTTCTTCTATTTGTGGGTGAGTCTAGCTACCCCTGTTATAATTTCATCACCGCTAGAGGACTCTTCAGGCGGCTTTGATATTATACTTGTTTTAAATGATCGAAAATGTCACAATTAAAGCGAAAACTATTGCTCTGAATAATGGAAATGAAGTTAAGTATTTTAGAAAAGACATGAAAATTGTTTTTTATTGATGTATATGGGTGCGCTGTTTCGTTTTAGTTAGTTTCTTTGTAAATTAAAAATGAATACATACATCACACTATGGGGAAACAATGTTCTTAGTAGGTTGATTGATTGAAAGATTCCTTATTCTTGAGTTACAGTGAGGTATGAGGAATATATGGAGTCCCAGAATAATATTGGATATTCGATTGTTTGACTTTGAACTAGAGTCCTTTGAACTAGAAGATATGTAGTATCACTCGTTTATTCGACTACTCTTTATCACAAACTACAAAAAGCTAAACTCTAACAAACGAAAAATACCTAAAATATAATACATTTACCTTGCATCAGAAAAGATAAGAACCGCAAAAGAAGAAAGCAGGAAAAGAACAAAAACAGACAACGAACAGAACGAAACAAAAGAGAGTAGTCCTACCGAAAGATGTACATACTAGAAAGAGAGGTTGTGACAAAGAATCGTCACAAGGTACGCCATCTGGGATGGTGTTTTTAAACTTTATTTTCCAACAGGATCATTTTCTCAGGGCTCGGGTACAAGCTGGTAAAAGCCGCCAGCCTCTATCTCTTTTGTTTGAACTTCTTTCATAAAACAAGAGACGACACTGCTTTTTGAAATAGATAATGGTAATTTAATAAACGCTTTCCCTGAAGAAATAGCTTTAAAATATGACTATTTTCGCCTAGGCCTCAACTTTACTTGACCCAAAAGTACACCATTTTATGTCTCAAGAAGACAAAGTGAAGCAGAAAGGGTCATCGAAGGCAAGTTAAAGAAAATGCCTAAACCAATGCTGATGATTCCAGCTCCTTCCACTAGTGCATCATCAATTGTATTAGCTTCAACCATTGACACCTCTTCTGAACCATCAAAATTTCAAAAATTTCTCAACAAATGTGATATTAAATAGACTATTTCTTCGACCACTACGATGACAAAATCTCTTACCGTGCAGGAACAACTCGCAAACTGGTTTCGATTTCAAAAGATGGCTATAATTTTACAACTTTCTGGACAAAATATGGTTCAACAATATCAGACTTGATGCGTCTCGCGAAAAAGTATATGGCCATACCTGCGACGGTTCTAAGGCAGTTGTCCGCTGGACACTTGCCCGCCAGACAGATGCCCGCGAGACATCTGCCCGTTGGACACTTGCCCGCGGAGGACACTTGCTCGCAGTGCATCAGAACAAGAACACAAACCTTTGTCTTTCTACATACGTTGTCGGACGTATACCAAACAGACGATAAGGCAATAGCTGTCCATAAGTTCGAATTTTTCTGTTTTTTCTCTCGAGAATGCTCTTTTTCTCTCTTATTTTCTGCTATAAATTGCGTCTATTACCCAATCGATCATCATAATCATCGACTGTTTCTGCATCTGTTATTCTCGAGACTATCAAGTCAATCACATATTACAGTATGACCACGACAAAAGGAAAACCTGTCTTTGTTGAAAATGGCTATGTCTACATCGTTGAAAGATCATCAGGTGATAAAACAATTTGGTGCTGTGAGCGAAAAAGACATGGATATTGCAAAAGTCGATTGCATACACTCAACGATCGTGTCGTTCAAACAATTGGCATTCACAATCATGAACCGAGAGCCGAAGCAGCAGAATTGATGGATGCACGAACACAGATGAGCCAAGAAGCGAAAACGTCGAACAAAAGTGACGCACGACATTGTTGCTGACGGTGTTAGTCACTTATCAGATCAAGCAGTCGCATCGTTACCCGATCTGCGAAATCTCAAGAAGACAATTCGACGTATTCGTCAAAAAGCTCAAAAAATTTTCATACATTACCAACGTGCATCACTAGTGGATTGTGTACATCCGAACATTTGGAAGTTTCTGCGACTGCTGAAAAAAGAACAGTCGATGGTCGAAGCCGAATTTAATCCAAGCCGAAACCGGAGTTCGACGACCGAAACGTTTGGTGACAGAGCGTCAACAAAAAAGAATCATGAACATTTTGGATGAACAGTCGACAACAAATTTGGATAAAGTACTTGCACTAGCCAATAATATTTCACTCAAGTCAGCCTAACTTATTTTTCTATACTATAGAATTTACTATAGAATTTTTCTTTACTATAGAATAATAGAACTTTACAGTTCATTTGTCCATGAACCATGCTGTTGTATGTATTCATTTTTGCATTCAACTTCTAATAAGATGTACATATATGTATGACTGGGATGTTAAAATAATAAAATGTTGAATGTAATGAAAAAAACATTTGTTTGCAAGGCAATTTGCGGGCAAGTATTATTTACCGGCAACTGTCCGGCGGGCAAGTGTCCGTTTTTAATGGTGGTGGGCAAGTATCCGGCGGGCAAATGTTCCGCGGGCAACTGTCTCGCGGGCATCTGTCCGGCGGGCAAGTGGGCGTATACCACCTGCGACATCGGTACCCAGTGAGTCGGCATTTAGCATCGCCAATTATGTAGCTCGAAAAAACGATTATCATTATCATCTAAAGGTATCAAATACACAATGTTTCTGAAAGACAAATTGTGATTTGTAATGTCGCCGCTTTCGGAGTAATGGTTATGCTCTCTTATATGTAGAGTGATATTGATTTGTCTGTAAAGACCAAAAGCTGTCAAATAAAGATATTCTATATGTATTCTTTATATGAACAACGTGGCAGTATCGTCTGTTGAGGCTGAACTAGATGACTTTGCTACAGTATAAAAAACAAGATAAATGAGTATCAGTTTTTCTACATCTTCATTATGCAGACAACGGTAACTGATGTACAGCTCCACTTACTAGAAACGGCAACTGGAACCGTCCCATCCCTATGTCTTCGTCTCTGACAAATATACTGTTTCGTTGACAGCTGTATATTAAAGAGTCGGTTCTAGCAGTTCTTGCTTTATTCAGTCAGTAGGATTGATGATCGAATGATACTGCACTTATCCGGCTTTGTTGAAAAATATTTTTGATATCAAAACTGGAAAGCGACATTAATTGCCGGAGGAATATTCGTTGTTGGAGCCGAATAGTGTAATTCATACTTTATTCAATAGAAATGGCACGTCGGTGGAAAATCAATCGAGCGGTCAGTTTGGAACAGAATTTGCTCTCAGATTTTCAGCAACATGGGTATCTAATGTGGTAAATAGCCTTGCTGATGTAACTAAGGTGATTCGTGCCGAATGGCACACTGTGCGATTCGTCTCGGTGTAGGACCCGTAAGAAAACTCGTAATGGATGCTTTTTTTAGTTTGAAAAAGTCACAGACGTCTCGTTTGAGGTACAACTAAATCAAATTTATTAGGAAAAAAATCGATGTGATATCCTCTAATCATATTTTAACAATGCTCAATGAAGCCATCATTGGCAAACTCGTGAAGTTTTGATGTAGTTCTACCAAAAGAGCCGAAAAGCGACAAGAACAATATCAACTTTGTCAATGAAAGGTTTATAATAGTACTAATTAGAATGCAATGAAGTCTTATCATGCAACTAAGCCATATGACGCTGCAGAAAAATTCAAATAGTTCAGAAAAAAACTGTATTCTAAACAATCCTGTTCAATTTTCCCGTCTTGACATCGTAGAGCCAGCCGCTGACAGGCACATCTTTGAACAACAATGGACTACTCTTGAGAAAGTCTACATCGTCACGAACAGAATCTTCGAGCTTGGCAATCGAGAGAAAAGCTATATGATCGGCAGTCGAATGAAGTTCTTTTTTTAATTTATCTTGCAAATCAGCATCCTTGAATGTGACCATACCTTGTAGATAAAGAGCAGATGTTGGTTCATAAGCATCGATAGAGTTGCAGGTAAATCTTACCACAATCCGTGTGGTGAATGACGAGGATCTCTCGTGTACCAAGCAATTGTTGACTGATGATCAGAGAGCGGAGAGCATCTGCGGCTCGACCTATTCTTCAAAAAGCATTCAAAGTCGGTTTTTTGATCAATTGAACTCACCTCCTGCATTTCGAATCACATGAGCCTATATGAATCAAGAAAGTCAGACAAGTCTCCTGCTTAAATCTCCTGCACACTTACATCCCCCTCTTCCAATCCAAGAATCTTAGCTGGATCGATGCGCGCATCCATGCACGCAACAATGGCCACGTTGCGAGTTGGCGGCAAGGCTAAATGGCTCTTGTTGAATTGTGCAACATATGCTTCATTGGCCTTAAGAAAGGTAGGCACTTGAGATGTAAATGACATTTACTTGTGACTAATCTGGAAAAGATTCAACCGTTAGAGATATGGATTTAGTCAAGAGTGCTCGCCTAGTAGCTATCGAAAACGATCCTGATGTACTACTAATAAGAAAACGGGCCGATTTCATCATCCTAAGCAACAACAATGTTTGGTATTTTCTTTCCTCCTTCTTCATCGAATATAGCTACTTGCTTATCGTCGTCTACGGTCGCTACCCGAGAGAGAGAGAGAGAAAAGAATGCATGCTTTTGTTTTTGGTATAGACATAGATGTAGCTGTTCCAATGTCTCGCTGAAGCGATTACCCGAGAAGAGTTTTTCAATTCCTAAATCGGAAGTATTCCTTGCTGATAAACCGTCGGTTAGCGTCTGTTACCGCATCGATTTATTTCAAGGAATAGCAGCTATTTCTATAAACGATTGAGGAAGAAACGATGGTTTAGAGGTACGCGGTAGAAGACATCGAGTGAACAATGAATATCTTGAAATATAATCGCAGCATTGACCCAGACGGATATTGAACACATTGATATATTGAACACAGCAGAATGCAAGTGTCCTCAGACGATATGGACTTGAGCAACTGAGAAGAGACAACGCGATGATGAACTAGAAAAAATGCACTAACGTATTAAGCGACACTCCCTTCCTATTTTCAACTTTTCTCTCTGCTTCTTCTTCGGAGAGCAGTGCACCATCGAGTGTCGTGTGACTGAAAAGAACCTTGGTCTACAACAGTCGATTGCGAATGACTTCGCCTGATTTAATGGAACATGAGAGATTTTACTGAGGATAGTTCTTGGTTTCTTCCGCATACCCTTCGTTCCGAATATTTAACGGTAGGTTCCTAAAAAGCCGTGTTCGAACCAGTGTTTCAATATTTGAAACTTCAAATGATTTTTCATGCAGGATCTGAAATCACCAGACGATTCTAAATTCAGTTTTCTATCTAGAACAAGCTTTAGTGTCAAAGAGATGCCCTTCCTTTCGAATTTCTGGCCATCCGTCTCCAACGGGCACTTAACGGAGCAATGTTTTTGTGATACCCCAAATGACTTTTCTCAGAAAAACAAAGTATACTGTTGGATAGAGCGCGTCGAGCACTATACATGTAAAACAGAAATTTTACTTGAAGTTTGCATTGCCTGCACGTTACTTTCGATGCAATCTCGGGCATCTAAAATATATCATATTAAGTAAGATGCAAGCAATTCAAACTTTCAGTAAAACTTTTTTTGCGTTTTCTTCACATCGTTTGACAGAGCGTGAGCTGCTCATCACGAAAAACTACTTTTTAGCCTTAGCAAATACTTCCTTCCGGTCGAAAAATACGAAATACTTTAAAGGTATCGTTTTTCGAGAAAAACACATCTTTTTTGAAATATGCAAAATTTTCTACTTCGCTCTTTTTCCAGCTTCTGAAAACAATTTTTTCAGATTCAGCATCAGAAACTGAATCTAAAAAAAGCTGTTAAATTGATTCCAGATCCAAAACTCTATTAGTGGTGGTGCTTCGAATCTCGTCGAGTCCACTAGGTATAAATCGATTTTGCAAACGTATATAGTTTTGAGATCTTCTAATACGGTTCACATGCTATTTGAATCTATATAGACGAATCTCTTAGATTTTATGCATTTTCTGACAATGGTAACCAGTTTCTGACTTTCAAAACTGTTAGGAGAAAAACGGCTCAACTTTGTAACAAATGTAGTAAAGACGAAAGAGCTTATTTTTTTCTGCTTTGACACACTGAAATTGCTGTGTACTTACCACAATTTTAGTTATATTTTATTTGAGATCTAATATTATTCAATATTTAAATTTATATCTTAAAAAAGAAAATCCCAAAAAGCAGTGCATGGCTACACGATAAAGTAATCTTAACAATGCGATAACAAAAAAGAAATGACTATTAAAAGAAAACACACGTTGTGTATACAATAGATTAACAATAAAAGAAGAAAAGAACAATGTAATCGTGAGCACAACACACACACACGTGGCCTGTTCTTTTCTTTTTCTCACTATGTGTATGTTATATAAGTTCAGAAAGATAATATAAGGTATAACGCAGAACAACCAAGACTCGCAACGCGACGTTGTATAACTCCTCTACTTAGACAGCAACTCAGCGATAAAATCGCAAATACTACTGTTTATATATCTGTGATTAACTCAGCGCGACTCACCATATCGCGAATCGTGCCGCGATACAGCGATAATATAGCGGTCGCGCTAAGAAATAGTCACTTGGTTTTTTGAAAATTTATCGACTTTTCAACTCCCGCCGTGAGATCGCGAAGCTATAGCGATCGCGCCGCGAACATTAATCGTGCGCCGAATCCTAAAAAAAGATTATTTTTAAAATAAGATTAAGCCAAGATCACGGCGAGAGTTCAAGAATTCAGCGCGATCGCAATGGGAATACACGTTGTTTTAGCTATATGCGGGATTCGACAGCGATCGCGCCGCGACTGAGGCGCGAAAGTTTACTTGGGTTATTTAAAGAAGTGCAAAACAGTTAAAACATTTCCAAAACTTCTGAAAAATCAACCTTTTTAAGAGGGTCTTCTAATCTGTCTCTTGCTTCGCTCGCTCAAGCGGGGTCTTCTATTATGGGGTCAGTCTTCTATTCTAGGGGGGTCCTCTAATGTGTTCATCCCTTTAGTGCTTCTCTGTCGTGTTTGTACATAGAGATTCGAACTATGATTTGCATTGCAAAAGAACAATAATCCTCTATAACGTAATAGTTACTTACATCTGATGGTACTACGCGATAGCAAATAAGCAAGAAAACGCTAAAAAGAAGTATGTTACAACGAAAAAAAGACTAACAACGGTTGACGAATAATAGCGGACATATTAGAGGACCCCCCTAGAATAGAAGACTGCCCCCATAATAGAAGACCGCGCTTGAGCGAGCGAAGCAAGAGACAGATTAGAAGACCCTCTTAAAAAGGTTGATTTTTCTACCTTAAGGATAGGCATAGTTTCAGAGCATCTCATTCACAGGATGCTAGATTAGCTCTCGGCTCTAGCAACGAACTGTTCATAGCGTTAGTATTTCTCGAATACACATCCTCTGCAAGTACAAGCCTGATGTTTCATCACATACAGTAAACGTTTCCTTACGGTAAAACTAATAGACGAGCAATACGATATCAATCTATCTCACGTATATTTTGAGATCTAATTCTAGTCGCATGGCAAACCAGAATTGAAAAATATAGGTGGATACCGTTAGATCAACAGTTGATGATAATCTTGAAGCATTCACTTTCGAATTTGATTTTCCAAAATACCTTCTGACTTAGCCACACTTCAAAACAAATATTTAGTTCAACTTTGTGACACTAGAAAAGGCGAAAGGACTTCTTCACTTTCCATCAGATATACCGTTCTGAAATAACTGTGTACTTGTTACGTGTATCCTGTTCCGAAGAGTAAGCCGGTAAAACATGGTGCACTTAACTGCCAAACTGGATGCTGAAAAAGTATCCTTCCTCCCTGAAATGCAAACCTCTGATATTTTAGTTGATGTCTTGATTTGTGCATTTATAGTACTGTCAAAAATTATAAGACCACCTGATATGTTGAAGTTTTTGATTTTCTGGCATGTTCTGAACTACTTCCTCGAACAAGCTTCAACATAAAATATGTAGAATTACAGTTGTTCTTCAAATTACTCACTTTGCAGTTATAGTTTTAGCACAGGAGAGAGACGAAAGGAAAAAGCCCATACGCGATACGATGATGCCAAGAGGAAAAAGAGAAGAGAGTGAATGAGAGAGAGAGCGAAGAATTATTGTCTATCATATAAATCATATTTATGTATCTGATGTAGTTGATATGCAGTTTCTATTCGAATTTCTAAAGTTCGAAAACATTGATTTATTGACAGATATTATAAAAAATCGTGTTAGATGTAATGTCAATCGATTGAAGACAGATTGTGAGAAACTTCGAACATAACTAGTATTTAATAGATTTCTTCTCTTCGGTTCCTTATCTACCAGGATACACTAAGATAGGTTGAATGTGTTTGATTGCATTCTGACACACACGAAATATCTTAGTAGTAGAAGGAGTAACTATAAGTGCAAAGGTCACTGAATATATATATTCAAATATAAATATATAAATTGTGAGAAACTCCAAATACATTGGAGTGGTGCTTGCTTTAAATGCCTCGAAGGTCGAAATGATTCGAGATAGTTTTATTTCTATCGGGGAAGTGAGTGACTCTACAGCTTTCGGAATACGTTGAAAGTACACTAATTAAAAACATGAATGTGCGCTTCCACGAATGCCGGAAAAATTACAGAAGCGTCTATCATTAGAATTTGTTCCTGTTCATGATTAGAATAAGAAATATACGACAAGCCAGTATAATAGTACAAGTACATTGTTGCAATATAATAATTTTACTTGGCTTCTTGGTTTATCAGCATATCCTTCTTGTTTTAATAGCGTTTCAAGAATTTCAGAAATATCGGGTGTTGCAAGGAATGTTGTATCCGCATGCGATGTATGCAGTACAATTCTCATTGTCGCTTTATTAGGTGGAGCCGAAAGTTCTTCTAATAGGAAAACATGTTCTTCTATTTTCGACTAAGCGAATTCTCGAATAAACGAATTTCCGAATAAGCGAATTCCCGAATAAACGAATTCCCGAATAAGCGAATTCCCGAATAAGCGAATTCCCGAATAAGGAATAAATGCATTCTCCAATAAATGAATTTCGAATTCCCGACGCTTAAGTGAATTCCCGTCTCGGGAATTCGGGATCTACAGCACTCATTTTTTCCTGACACACGAGTGAATTGCAACGGCATTGTATCGTCACTCTCCTACGCTGTTTTGCGTATAAAATCCGTTCTCCTGAATAAATTTTCAAATGTTTTGTTTTGATTTTGCTCCTCTGTGTTTGTATATTTGACTTTCATAATGGGGTTCTGGAAAACCTGGATTTTCAGCTTACAGGTCTTGGGAATATTCTTGTAAAAAGTTCTACGATAATTGAAATTTTTATTCAATGTACTCATCGAATGGATCACATTGTACTCTATCAAAAAACTTATTTTGATAAAACAGAAATTTTATTTTTAGAGATTTTGAGAGGTTTTTTGCTGAAAAACCAAGGTTTTCTGGAGATCTTCTCTTGTAGCAGAGCTGGAAAGCCAAATTTTTTTTGTTTCTTGTTTTGAACTTGCTAAACTATGTAGTTCAAATGTATGAGGTTGCCAAAATCAGACCTCAATAACTTAAGGTTTTCTAAGGGTTTTCTAGAAACCTTCGAAGGACTTTGCGACTGTCAAAATCAATATTGGAGTTAAAATTAAACTTTTTTCACAGATAAATAGTCCAAAGTGTCTTCTACAAAACCGGATCTAAGTGACATCTTATAAATCCATGGTTTCGGAGCTATGGCCATTTTTCCTGAAGTCTTAGCACTCCTGTGCCGTTAGGCTTGAGACTATCAGAAATGAATCAAAGCATAGGTTATCGACTATGCTGAATCTCGTGGCAATGTTAGTTTTTAGAACAAAATGCGCTAACCGAGTGAAAACCAATACTAAGTGAAATGTTATACTAATAATTTAGATTATTTTCATCAAAAACTAAAAGTTCATAAATCAGTCAAACTCCATTCAGCCTACTTCAGAATGTCAGGAGATACTGTATTCTAACTGCAGCATACCATAAAGCTCAACAAATGTTGAAAAAGCCATTCGAAAGTACTTTGGTTTCTAGATAGGTTTCGCAGAAACCTTCGGAAGTAAGAGAATATTTTTTTATTGGTTTTACGTATAGAATCAGAATGAGCGGATAAAATAGAGTATTTCCTGACATTCTGAAGTAGATTCGATCGTACTAATTACGTTTTCATTGGTTATCCAATTAGTTGACTGATTAATTGTAGTTTGTTCTTGGGTAAGAGTAAACCATTCCGTCAGATATTCACGTTAGAAAAAGTGTTTCAGAAAAGTAACCCCAACCTGATACTAAAATAAATGAAGGATAGTCATGTCCAACTTTCTGTAAAAGCCGCCGTGATATGGGCAGAGCGACGAGCCATCGCGAGTATATAGTTAGATGCAGCTTCCAAAGACGAGTCGATTGGTATATAATAAATCTAAATTTGATCAAGTTTTCATGGAGATACGTTGAGTTTAGTGTCAGTGCACATTTCATCGTAATTTTTGGATTTCTCAGAAACGGTAAGAGATTTGGAGCTTATTTTCTTATGCCATGTGTAAATCCTGGGTGTTGAAAAAGGGTAAAAGTTTCTGAGCAAACGGATTTATTTTGCAGGAATTATGAGGGAAACAAGAGTGAAAATGTCAGTGCACAAATTGTATAAAAATCGAATTTTTCTCCCAAAGATTGTGTTCATCCTACGTTAACTGATAAAACTAGAGAAAATTTCTTTCAACCAAATTGTCATGCTTCGACCGGTTCTCCTAGAACAAGCACAGTTAAGCAGATTAAATTAACTCACTGGCACCTTTGCTTGCGAGGGAACATTTCGAAGTGACACATTCTGATTTCATTCGGTCGTACGTCGATCGATAGAAGATAGTGAGCTACTAAAAAAGCTAAAAGGATTCGGTCCCTTGACTCTTGAAGACCCGGTTTTATGGAAAACCAGTTTTTCAGAAACTTTAAAAAATAGCCAAAACCTATTCTTAATGATGCATGATTGTAGTCCGCACATTTCTGATTAAAATGAGACGTCCCCCAACTCTACATGACCTTTCGTTGCAAAATTATAGAATTTACAAGGAAAGCCCTAAATGTTCATCGTCAGCTCAAAGCTACGCAGATAAGAAGAAATTAGTTTAGGGCTTTTCTTGTAAATTCTATAATTTTGCAACGAAAGGTCATGTAGAGTTGGGGGACGTCTCATTTTAATCAGAAATGTGCGGGCTACAATCACGCATCATTAAGAAAAGGTTTTGGCTATTTTGTAGACTATTCAAGTATGTTTGCAAAACTGTCATCACTCATCGTTTTTTCAGGCAGTTTTTCAGTTGAAAACTCGAAAAAGACTAAAGTCGTCGCAAATCATAAACGAGGATTTTGAACATTTTGAAAAAGATGCGTTTTTTGAGAAAAAAGACGCCTTCCAAGTTTTTAATTTTTTTCGACCTCAAAAGAGCGTTCATGAATGTCTAAGAACTAAGTTTTCGTGATCAGCAGCTCACGCTGTATCGAACCATCTGTACAAAAGACGAAAAAAACATTTTACTTGAAGTTTGCAGTGCCTGCACCTTAAAAGATCCTTGATTTTGAAATATGCTCCTCATGAAATTCTTAACAGTGACCACTGTTCCTTTCAGCAGAAGTATGTCTCTCTGAGAAATCTGGAACGTGAATCCCGGTGTCGCAGCGTGATTTTGAATGCATTCGCTATTTTTCTTTTCTTTGAACTCGTTACCAGGATAGTTTGAAAACTACTTTGCTTGCTGCCGGATTGTTTTTTAACGTCTCCTAGGCACACAGCACACATCTTTAGGTGGTATTACTGATAGCTGGAAAATCCTAACAAGCACAAAGATCCATTCGAAATTCGCCATTTATGGTTAGTGTAAACGAATATTTTATGTTCTTGTGCTAGTTATTAGTACATAATTATTTGAAATAAAGCGGAGATCTTGCCGCGATATAAGCAATTTAAACACGATCCTGTCACGATCACTAGTGAAACAGTCAATTTCAATAGTGATCGTGCGACGAAACAAGCAAATTCAGTTACAATCTTGCTACCATCTCAATCGCGATCCTGTCGCGAACTGTTTCCGGATACAACAGCGAATTTTTCGCGAAACGCGAAAAATTGACGAATATGTGCGTCCGCGATAGCGATCGCGATTCAAATTGGGTATTGCGCGGCAATATTGTGACAAGATTACTATAGCTTCGCGATGTGGAATGAAGCGCGGATTCTATTAGGGTAGTTGATTCCCTGCAAAAAGAAAGCAAGAATTGCGTTTCTTGCCCATTCTTGCTGGAAGTTGAACCAAGAAGTCGAACCTTACTAGAAAACTAATAATTTTAGATAACTTATAGTAGTCAAATCTTTGCGGGAAATTCACCGGAGGTAACCTGTATCTCATAGTGCATTAGTGCATACCGAATCTGCTATTGATTGATGAGTCATCACATCACTGACCACATACTATATTCTCTTTTCCGAAAGAAACAGTTATATTGCAAAAAATATCTCGCAGGAAATGTCTTAATTCGTTTGTCCGTCTGTCTGTTCAAGTCAATTAGTACGCAGTAGTTTCTTGATCAATGAGACGTCACCGCGATAGAGGCCGCTGTGCCCTAAAAATGTTCACAGTTCGTTTTACTCATAAAAGTTTCTTCTTCTTACCTATTCAATAAAAATACATATACTCTTTGTGTGAACGTTTTCGCTTGAATACAATACACAAAATTTATTCTTTATAATCGACTGTTCAACATTGCTTTATCAGTTCTAAGACTAAGACTGTTTATTCACGAAAAGTGAAAGTCATCAAAGGTCAACTACTTGTAATAGCAATGACTCAAGCCAAACAACACCAAAGAAGTAATAAAAAGAAATAAGAAAAATAAAGAAACACTAAGGTTAGACAACTAGAACTTCTTTGCGAACTTCTAATCGATGTCTCTGGCAGGTTCCCTTGTTAAAACGTATAACTACTAGATCTTCATTTTTACTAAAAACTATAAAGAGTGGAATCAATTACCAAGAGAAGTGATTGCTGCCTTTAGTGCTCGAGCTTTTAAACGTGCATTAAAGAAACATCTTGTTTCTTAGAGTAGTTAATAGTACATACTTATATCTCTTTTTGTTTTTTGCTGGGGATGACCTAGACAAGTTTTTTGTTGAACTTTTGTCATTACCCTGTCATTTTATTAACATCATGGACTAAAATAAAACTGATTGATTGATTGATAGAACCAGTAGTAATAAAGAAAATTTAAAACAAAAAGGAAAAACAAAAACAAAAACACAAGAAAAAAACAAGTGCAAATATAAATAACTGACATGCGTTTCACTGGAAGAGATACTGAAGTAGAGCTGTTTTGAAAGACATTAAAGAAGAAAGACAAATAACTAAAAAAATTGCATGGGCCCGAATCCTTTTAACCTTGTGGTTACAGAGTCAGTTATTTGTCTCTCTTCTTTAATGTCTTTCAAAACAGCTCCACGTTAAGAAACTTGTCTCAGCATTAACAAGAAACCATCTTTTCTTTGTCCTCAGAAGTCACTCAAAGACACACATGCCCGACTATAGTAGTTACACGCATCGATGTATGATTTCGCATTGCTGAGAAAAATCTGACAAACGACTTTTTCGTATGTACAGAAATAAAGCAAATTGACATCAGTGATAGGTATGTACCAGTTTTTAACTGGTGTTGGGGCATCCGGAAGAATCGCTATGCATCAGTTATCACAATTTGCTCAGAGCCGTGAAACATTTCATTTTGTAGAAAAATGTTTGTTCTACAAAATGCATTTGTTAAAAGAATTCCAAAATCATTTCTAA